CGGCGCAAGTAAAGGAAAGGAACTGTGGAACGTGCGGCAAGGTAGGGCATAATGCGAGAACGTGTCAAATAGTTGTTTCGATGTCTGGAGAAGAGGAAAGCGATTAGTTTTACTTGATTGCGTGATTTGTTGTGTTCTCATGACGATTCCTGTCTCAAGGGTTAAGATTTTTGTAACACTCGCTTGTTTGTAACACTCGCTTATCATGTACGTTATCGAAAATCAACACAATGTCATATAACAATGATGAGCAAGCTCGCCGAGCTCAAGCTGCGCAGAACAATCAGTGGGCCAGCAACAGCAGCCAGCCCCAAAACCTTGCTCCCTACCAAACAGGCAGTTACTCGAATCCAAATGAGCCAATAATTCACACAACAGGAACCGTCCCAATGAATCTTTTGAACAGCCCTAGCAGTCATTCTATACCCGGGTTACCACATAACCCAGCTCCTCTGAGGAGGACCTATCAAAACCCCAATCGAAAAGAGGATTTGAGAAGGGTAGCTTTGGAAAACAGGACTTATAATCAGGGAGAAAGCTCTCGAGGATATCCAGGTGTCGGCTACAGTGCACAGCCTCCCAACTACTATCCGCAAGCCCCTCAAGATCCGGGACCTGGACCCAGTGGCAGTCAAACAACCCAAACACACATACAACAACCTATGTCCTATCCTGTAGGTCGCCAAGCCCCTCCATCCAACAGGGATGAAGAACGGGAGAGGGATAGAATGGTGAGAGAAGAAAGAAAAAGAAACGGGATGTGCCCAGAATGTGGTCGCCCCGCTGCCCCAGGAAGGACACAGTGTGAGCATCACCTGGCAGGGAATATAGCGAAGCAAAACAAAGCAAAAGAAAGGGGCAAGTGCTATTCGTGCAAACGGAGGGATCCCGTGGCTAAAGATAAGCAATGTCAACATTGCATCAATAAGGCTGCCGCTTATTATCAATCAAGAAAGTAGTTCGGAGTATGGTTGGTCCTGACGATAAGATTTTAGGAATGTCGTTATGCACAGGGACACCTCTTGAACAGTATTCATAGCCACTTAATTGAATCAGCTAGTTTCTCGACCATTAGAAGACTCTTTAATTGTTAAAGCGTGAGGAATTGCAGTTGGACGCGTGATATAAGCATCAGCTGCCAGGTTTATGTGCTCAATACTCATAAACACAGTTCAGGCAACGAACTAACCGCCCACACAATTACCCAATGTAAATACATTGGTCAAATCAACAACAAGAGCCACATGTTGCCATGCACGAGAGGACTGTTAAGCACTGGAAGATGCTAACTCGCGGTTTGTCAGTCAAGACAAAACGATTTAGGGGCGCTGAAGTGACGTGCATGAACAAGAGCAGTCTATCGACACTCAATCACTACCATAAATCTTCAAGCACTAGATCAGTCATAGTTTGACTGCTGTGAAAAGTAGTTGTTTGGACGGCTCTTCGCCTACGAATGTCCGCAGCAAGAAGGTATATATGCTCGCAGACGGTTCACTTGAAATGCTGGGACATGAGCATTCACATGACAATATACACTTCTTACTAAGACATAATAGACCCTCTACTCAACTCCCATAAATTAAAACATATCGTCATAAGAATCGCAGACTTCAACATGACTTCCAACGAAGAATACGGCTATGGCCAAGGCAGCCAAGACAAGGGCAAGGGGAAAGAGACGGAAATAGTCAATCGCTTTCCCAATCCCCCGGAGCCGAATCAGAACTACCCACGGCCGCAAATGCCATATAGATGGCCTACTCCAGTGGTCACAAATGATAACACCGATGATCCCGGTACGTCTGATCAAACACCGGGGCCTCCCACTCCCCCATCCTGGTACATTCCAACTTTATTCCAAGACCGCTTTTGCTTAGGGTGCTTGCGAGTTCTGAAACGCCCTCTATCCGGACCAACTTGTATCAGTTGTGATAGGGTCCCCCGCCTTCAAGCAAGCGGAGCCATGGACCATCCACCAAACCATTACTGCATCGTTTGTGCCAAACGCGCTATGTATCCTGCAATTGTGTGCAGCGAGCACTACGAGAAACAAGACTCTCTGAGAGACTCTGAGATCAGTATTCTCAGCGCACTTCCAATGATGTGCAATAAGTGTGGCAAATGCGAAAAGGAGTCTTTTGAGAAAGAGTTCTGCAACAGGTGCGAGCAGGCACGGAGAATTGAATATCATCAAGCGGTGTTGGCACTGGAACAAGCCCCGAAAGGTAGACCACCAAAATAATACTCAGTGTTCCCAGAGGATGGAGCATGGATTAAGATGCCAGGCTAAAGATAGGAGGTGCATCGGGATACTCTGGAGCTAGATGATTGGAAGAAGACGAAGAAGACGACGACGAAATGGGAAGCCAATGGTATGAAGCACACTAAGCATAGAAAAGCCGAAGAGCTCTAATTCAGTCGTTTTCCTTTGTGAACGATTCCACATGGTCTTTGTCACACGATACCGCGCCAGAGTCGGCTTCCTAGCGACAGCTTTCTCTATCAATATAGCTAACAGGGGAAATGCAGCTGGCTGTTGCACATCACGAACATGTGACTGACAGAATTTCTGTGAGTGAAACATGGGGAAAATACAAAGCTCATATTGAGCAACGTCAGTAGTTGAGATCCATGAAAAAGAATGATATTTCCACGTATTGAATATCTATTTACAGACAATGGCATGACGTCTTGTTCCTTAACTATATTCCAGCAACTCTCCGAATATTAGCTCCTCGTGTCCGGTATCAGAAGATCCCATCGTAATCCTGGCATTTAGTTTATAATTACTCTAGCTTGTGCCTCACTACATCGTCAATGGTCCACAGCCGATACTCCAGTACGAGTGGAGACTCGATGAAGAGATTTCCCTAAAGACAGGGCCTTGTTACCATAATCCCAAGGAAGTAGTCTTGATCTTCAAGTTCTATTTTCTCACTAACATCAACATGACTGATTATACCGAAGCTAAAGTCTAGGTCTTCGCCAACAAGACAGGGAACACCATTAATAGACGGCCCGAACCCGACATTTCGACTAGATACTATCCAGCTTCCACCTCTCAAAGAAGTACCAATTCTGGTCAAGGTCCTTTAAATCTCCAACGATGCCGGCCTTCGTTCTTTCATCGGCTTCACAGTTGATGAGGACAGGATGTACGTCCCTGCCATCAAGATCGGCGACCCATGCATTCTGGAGTGATCGGCGAAGTTCTCAAGTCCAACTCTGCACGTTTCAGACCCGGTGACTTGGTAATGGGACCGTATCGATCCTGGTGTGGCGACAAGATCATTCTCGACATCGATACAGTGCAGCATATCGCCCCTCTCCCAAACAAACTATCTATCACGCATTATCTTGGTGCCTGAATGCCAATTAAATAGTTACCGATTTTTTAATGTAAAAGTCGGGGTATATAAAGTATAATAAATAGATATAAAAAACAGATAGA